TGAGAAAAAATCCGAAAAGCTTCGTCTAAAATTAAAGGAAACAAAAAGAATAGAAAGAGAAAGAATAAAATAAGACGTATATAAAGAAATATTATTATGCCTACTACTTTTATAATTAGAGAATACGATTAACGTCTTCGAGTATCCACCGACCTTCAAGCACAGAAATACTGATAAAGCACGGAGGTTATACATCCCAAAATCGAATCAACCAAAGTAAAATATTACCATAATATACAAATATACAAAAAAGAAGAGCGAAACTTTTTGTCATATTACAAATATTTTTAGGAAAAATTAATTATTTTATAATAACATATATCGAATATTTTATTAAGTCTTCAATAAAAAATCAAAGTTTACAAGGCAAATCATTGAAACCTAAATACTCATAATCATATTTCACAACCTTTAGAAAAAATGATTCCAAATAATCACACATAACATGAAGAGAACTATATTCTGTTAATGCATTGGTTTGAATCAATTGTTCAAATGTTGTAATTATGTCTGTTTCATATTTCATAATTTCAGTATCAACGATACTCAAGCGAGCGTTTGATTGCTTATGAATAATGAATCGTTTAATCAAATCGCTTGGAACTCGTCAAATTATTCTTACCAGCGGTCAATCACATTTTGATGGGGCGGTCACAACAAAGACACCATATGACTGTATACGCAACAGATTAATATAATATTAATTAAAATGGGTCAAGTATAATGATATCTGATTTGAATCCCTCTTGTGGGTAGGTAAAGGGTCAGATTTATAAAAAAATATACCAAATGATAGGTAAAGACATCATGCATCTATAAAAAAAATTATATTGATTAGGTTTTTTTTGAAAAAGTTATGGCAGTTTTAAGTAAAAAAAATTGAAAAAATGTCAAAAATTAGCAAATAAAATTTGTAATTTTTTTTGGAAATTTCCCCCATTTATGGCGAACGAGGGAAATTTTTTCAATTTTTGAGGGTAATGTCTTTGACTAGATACGATTTGTGATCTTTTGACATTATGAAATTATAGTTATGTACACCTGTACATCTATTATTTGACCAAAAACAATGGCGATTTATTTTCCAACCTTCGCTTAACCTACTTTTTTCAACAATACGTCAAATGATTACAATTCATATTTAGTTGAAGATATTACCCTCAAAAATTGAAAAAAAAGACCTTTAATCAAATAACAAGTAGCTTAACGAGCTTTATCCTTACAAACAATTAAAATCATTTATTAGGTGTCGCGCTTTAGACATAACTTTGGCATCTGATCGCAGTTCGAACCACATGGCTGTACTGCACAAATTCTACCTTCATTTCCCTGTCCATATATATTAGGTAAAAAAAAAACAAATATACTTTACTAAAAATTATTATTAATTTTAAAAAAATTGACCTCTGGATTTGTCCTTAAGTGAAAATAATATACAAATATACAAAAAAGAAGATCGACAACTTTTTGACGTATGACAAATATTTTTAGGAAAAAATAATTATTTTATAATAACATATATCCAATATTTTATTAAGTCTTGAATAAAAAATCAATTTTTACAAGGCAAATCATTGAAACCGAAATAGTCATAATCTTTTTTCACGAACTTTAGAAAAAAATTATTTCATAATCTACAGTTTTAATATTTAGAATAGGCAAGTCTATAATTCGTAGGTCGATTTTATCGAGATATTTTACTGTTTTCAACATTTTTTGAAACATATTTACGACATTTAAAAATATCAATAATTTTCTCAGTACAATCAAGTCGTCATATTGTTTATTTAAATATTTAACTTTACACTTATTTAAAACAAAGTTTAAAATTACATAAAATGTTTGCATTACATCACTATATTCACATTTTAATAGAGAAGGTAGTATTGAGTTTTTATTTTTAATTAAATATTTCTTAGGACTCTATCTCTTGAAACGTTTCTACGTTTGATTTCTTTTTAATTTGTTTTTTACTAACTTTAAAGATGAAAATACAACACAAATTGTTCGACTAATCGATTTGTTCTGTTTTATTTTAACAAAGATGAATATATATATATATATATTAAACAGCTAACTACTATATCAGTCTTATGTTAGAAATTATTTAATTTGGGGTGAAGTTGAAGTATAACCCTCTGGATCACGGTTGGTAACGAGTAGTTACGAACACCGTTGCAAAAGGTTAAGGAGATTTTTACAAAAAGACAGTTATCTCAATCACGGTTGATAACACGGAGGTTATGATCACCGTTGAAGATGAACTGTATAATGTAAGTGATGGAATCTAACCCTTTGGATCACGGTTGGTAAAGCGTTTATTACGAGCACCTTTGCAAAGGATTAAAGAGGAATACTTAGGAAAAGCTAGTAATCTTGATCACGGTTGATAACACGATGGTTATGATCACCGTTGTTGATTATTACTAACTTTTAAAGAAAAGAATATATAATTTTGATCACGGTTGGTACCGCTTAGATATGAACACCGTTGAAATTTATATATGTAATAAGAGTTTAGATATAAATAAATATTAAGAAAACTTATTCAATGGAAAGATGAATGGATGAAGAGTATTTAGCACTTAACATTGCGATTACTAGTAAAACGACACATAGAAAAACTACTGAATTAACATTTAGAATTTTTAGAGTATAAATGTTCAAGTAGAGACGGTGTATTTTATGCTACCCGTCACCACCTGAGTAGTGTAGAACGATTGTCCATATATAATTTATTTTTTAAATACCCTCAAAAAAAAACAATGCGTATTCTAATCCCACTTCATTTCCGAGTTTTCGTTAAAACTGATATGTAACATAAAATAATCATTACGATAAATATAATAAAAAATAAAAAAAAAATAAATACATTAATTTATATTCTTTTGAATAAGGGTTGTCAAACAGCGCTGTCCAGCAACTGTCTTTCTTGACACTGTCAAACAATGCTAACACTGTAGCGTAACGCTACACTCTTACATTAACTGCGTGGTTACTCCAGAATTTAAGTAATAAATTTACTACTCAGAGTGATAAAAAAAGGAGAAAAATTTGGTAGGAAAAAGAAAAATGTTCATTAAACAAGGTGAAAGCGTCATAGGTAGATAGAGCATAATCTATCTACAAAATTCTATTTCGTGTAGCAACACTGTTTGTTTTCCATATCATGGAGAACATAACAATAACCATAAAGTGACTGTCAAATGACTGTACAGTTAAGATCCGTCAGCAGGGTCTAGTTCAAAAGTAGCAGACTTAAGGTTGGGTTTGCAGCCATCAGCACAGCTACCGTTTCACTATATCTACTAAAGAACAGTTAAACCCAAAAACTAGCCAGCATCCACACTAATTGTTAAAATGTAGTAAACGACCAGTAGTCAAACCATGACTTTTGTCGCACACACACACACTCACAATTTTAATAGCTCGATGGATATAAAGTGTCAGTTTTCGAATAGTTTTATTCTATTGACGAAACGTAATAAACACTCATTATATATGTTCACATAATTTTTACGTCAATCCCCTTTACTTTACATGTTTCCCATTCACCATATGTCATAAATAATACAACAATTGATTCTTATATATTTAATGTTTGACAATTTTAAAATTTTTTATTATATTGACACTCTTTAGACGTTTAAAAAGTATGTTGGAAATTATCAATTAAAATAATTTATTGAAATAAAAATTTCAAATTCATATTTTTTTAAATAAATACAATTTTTAAAATGTTTAACAATTTCTATGACAATGAATTTAAAAACAATTTGAACTTAAATTTCTATTTATATATCTACGTCATAAATATTTCTAAAAATATTTTACATTATAAAAAAAAATTTAGACAGTAATATAATTTTAAACAAATCACCAATTGCAGTTAAAATGTCTATAAAAAAATTATGTCGTTAATAAAGTATAAGCTATATAAAAAAGAATTTTAAATTATTTTATTCATAGATATATAATATAATAAAAATCGTCTTATAAAATTAAAAAAACATGTATAAAAAAGTTATTTTATATGAGTTTTTCTTATATTGGCAATTAAGTCAAGTTATAAATGTATATTGTGATTCTCAAGGTAAAAAATTTAAAAAATATCTTATCAACTCATTAAACCACATTCGTGTTCAAAATGGATGGGACTTAATTCAAGAAACAGAAATTAAACTTGAGCACTTCACAATTAACACCATAAGCATCACAAGTGAAATTATCGATGAAACTAACTTTATACAAAAACTCTACTTTATAACTTGTCTCTTAAATTGTGAATTTACTAATATATTGCAAACTTTCAATGCAATGTTAGGCCTTATTTTAAATAAGTGTGAAGTAACTGTTTTAAACAATCAATGTACTGAATTAAAATATTGCACAAATCTTATTATTAATATTTTTAAATGTTCAGTAAATATGTTTCAAAATATGTTGAAAACAGCAAAATATCTCGACAAAATTGATCTACGAATTATAGACTCGCATACTCTTAATATTAAAACTGTAGATTCTGAAATAAATTTTTTTTACACACACGCATTAGAGTTAATCAATGACTCATTAGTTAATTTATATAGTATTGAAAGATGGGTAAATATTTTTGAAAATATAAAAGATTTCAATAGAAAAGCTGAATTAGTGACAACAAATCTTTACAAAATTAGAAAAGTGTGTGGGACAGAATATAAAAGTTCTATTTTAATCAATTTAATTATGAAATATAATATCGATCAAATGGAAAAGCTGGTAGAGGATTCCTACGATTATATTAATGATATTCATAAAGATCTTGAATTATATATTTTGGATAGAACTGAAAACTGTTACTCAAAACTAGGCTTTGAACAATTAATTGGAACAAATACGTTCAAGTAAGATTTATAGTTTAGTACGTTTAGTTGCTTAATTTTATTTATTTATTTTTTAAAAGGTAAAATTTTTATGGTAATAATTTTGAGCTTTCATACATGATTTTATTTGCTATACAGGTATATTTATTTCAAAAGTAAGAAGTATTGCAATAAGGAAGGTATTGATTTGTGTAATCATTTTATATCTCACACTGGTTGGATGTCATGGGAACATATAGCTGTTGAAACTGAATCTACAAAAGGAATACCACTGTATTTTAAAGATATTTTACAAATGGTTGATATGAATAATTATAATTTCATGCAGTCATATCTTGCACTTATTTTAAGATGTCGCTATATTGAAATATTCAATAATTTTAATGTAATGTTGGGACATATAATTAATGCTTGTAAATATGAAAATAAAATTAATTGTGCAATTAAGCTTTATGAAACACTTATGTCATCCGATGATATGTTTATTAAAATGTTATTTGCTCTCATTACTTTGAGACACTACTCAAAAGATAAACAATATATACGCCAAGAATTATTAACAGAAAAAGTGATAGAGTTTTTTATTGATTTTCTTTATGATATTAGAAAAAAGTATTTTTCCACATTGTTATTTATTAATGATGGAATTTATGAAGCTCAATCGTTTCTTGAAGACGTAGATCACGTTTATACTTTAATTTTACAGAGGAAATTTTATGACGTAATTCAATATAACATGAAATATTGCAAAATTATGAAATGTGAAACAGATATAATTACAACATTTGAACAATTGATTCAAACCAATACCTTAACAGAATATAGTACTCTTCATGTTATGTGTGATTATTTAGAAACATTTTTTCTAAACGTTGTGAAAAATGATTATGAGTATTTAGGTTTCAATGATTTGCCTAGTAAACTTTGATTTTTTATTGAAGACTTAATAAAATATTGGATAAATGTTATTATAAAATAATTATTTTTTCCTAAAAATATTTGTAATACGACAAAAAGTTTTCTTTTTTGTATATTTGTATATTATGGTAATATTTTACTTTGGTTGAGCCGATTTTGGGACGTATAACTGTCGTGCTTTATCGGTAATTCTGTGCTTGATGTTCGGTGGATACCCTAAGACGTTAATCTTATTTTCTAATTCCAAAATTTGTAGTCATAATAATATTTTAGCTTCGTTGCGAAGCTGAAATATATTAGTTTTACTATGATTTTTATCACTATCAGATTAAATCTATACTTGACCTACCTATGCTGCGATCCCACTTTGCTAGGTTTTTTTTTATTTCTATTTTTTTTTTTTGTGTGTCTGTTACCATATATTCTCAACTATCACTGAACCAATTTCTTTCTGCGATAAGTCAAAAGATTACAAATCTATTAAAAGTAATTACCCTCAAAAATTGATAAAATAAATTATGATTTATTTTTATTATGATTGTTTTTAATTTTGCTTTTTTTTAATCAGACTTGTTCATTTTTAATTTTAGTGTTTTTGCACTATTGAGTGATACATTTGTATCATATACTTCATTAATAACAAATTCTTTGCAAATTGTAACTTTTAATTAAATCAGTGGTATGTATACTAGTTTTATGAATCGTGTTTTTCTGTTTCTATATCTATTAAAGAATTTTTTATTTTTTAAATTTTTTCTATACCCGTGTGTCTTTAAACCAACAACCTTCTATTGAATGAAAACGAACAGTAGTATATAAATAGCCGGTACGGGCCTTCAAAGGTGCCGACAATGACGTCATGTATTGTTCTTGAGGAACAATGGGTGCACAGGTGAGATGCAGTCCGCCCTGGAGACGTCACACCTAACCTACCATAACCCCCCTGACCCCGACGCCTGTTGGGAACTGTATCCAGGTGAAATCAAGTGCAGTTTCTGACGTTATCCCCCTAGCTGACGTTACACTTGATCTTTGACCTAAGGTAAGCCCTATGTTGGGCCATAGCTGATGACACACCCAAACTTTGATATAAGGTATGCCCTATGACGTCACGCCCAAACTCTGTGCTAACATAAGCCTGTGATGCTTTTGCCTGATTGGTCGAACGCTCTCTATGATGTCATACCTAAACTTTGATATAAGGTAAGCTCTGTGACGTCATACCTGAACTTACTACAGTTTGCCAATTACATAAGCCTTATGACGTTATGCCTTTACTTTATGCTATGATAAGGTGAGCCCTGTGACGTTCCCTATCACGTCGTGATTGTGCCGTCGACTATGACGCTGTCATGTACAACCTATATAGCACTACAACGTCGGGCGACGCTTCACCTAACGATCGAATGCGCCTTAACACGGTTAANCCTACCATAACCCCCCTGACCCCGACGCCTGTTGGGAACTGTATCCAGGTGAAATCAAGTGCAGTTTCTGACGTTATCCCCCTAGCTGACGTTACACTTGATCTCTGACCTAAGGTACATAGCTGATGACACACCCAAACTTTGATATAAGGTATGCCCTATGACGTCACGCCTAAACTCTGTGCTAACATAAGCCCTGTGATGCTTTTGCCTGATTGGTCGAACGCGCTCTATGACGTCATACCTAAACTTTGATATAAGGTAAGCTCTGGGTTATGCCTTTACTTTATGCTATGATAAGGTGAGCCCTGTGACGTTCCCTATCACGTCGTGATTGTGCCGTCGGCTATGACGCTCTCATGTACGACCCTATATAGCACTACAACGTGGGGCGGCGCTTCACCTAACGATCGAATGCGCCTTAACACCATCGTTGACCCTACAGCCGACAACTCAATGTCGGGTCGATCAAAAAAAAAAGTTCATTTTCCAGAGTACCTACACGCAAACAATTAAATGTGTGTATAGTACGCGTCTAGTTGCGCGTTTGATATGTCACGGCCTTATATACCGGCGTGCCAATTCCCCCCCCCCCCCCGCTATCGTTTAAGTTTACGTTGATATTTCGTAAATTATGAATACTCATTCTTTGTGGTTCCACTACACTTTCCAGACATTCCGACAATCGTTGTGTTTGATAAAAAACCACCGAACACGTGCATAACGCGTAGGCGCAATATCCCACAACATTACTACAAGGTCGTTTGTTGTTTACAGCATTGACTGTGTGTGTACTACTATACCCTTTTTTTGAAACATTGAAATACAATATACGGTTTTTATTGATGCGTACTATTTGTACAGTACAAATAGCCATCGTTTGTTGATTTTTAAATTAATGTGTTAAGTATAGTAAAATATATCTGATTTTTGAACACATAACTATAACAAAGGTGACAATTGTGACTGCAATATTATTTAGTAACCTTCCGCGGNGCCTTAACACCATCGTTGACCCTACAGCCGACAACTCAATGTCGGGTCGATCAAAAAAAAAAGTTCATTTTCCAGAGTACCTACACGCAAACAATTAAATGTGTGTATAGTACGCGTCTAGTTGCGCGTTTGATATGTCACGGCCTTATATACCGGCGTGCCAATTCACCCCCCTCCCCGCTATCGTTTAAGTTTAAGTCGATATTTCGTAAATTATGAATACCTCTTCTTTGTGGTTCCACTACACTTTCCAGACATTCCGACAGTCGTTGTGTTTGATAAAAAACCACCGAAAATACGTAGGCGCAATATCCCACAACATTACTACAAGGTCGTTTGTTGTTAACAGCATTGACTGTGTGTGTACTACTATACCCTTTTTTTGAAACATTGAAATACAATATACGGTTTTTATTGATGCGTACTATTTGTACAGTACAAATAGCCATCGTTTGTTGATTTTTTAATTAATGTGTTAAGTATAGTAAAATATATCTGATTTTTGAACACATAACTATAACAAAGGTGAAAATTGTGACTGCAATATTATTGTAGTAACCTTCCGCGATGGACGTCAATCGCACGAAATATTTACCACGTATTTACGAGTGACCTGAAGACATCAAAACTGACCGTACAACAAACACAATGGACAGTGTAAACGGCAGCACAATCATCGAAACGTTGTGGGAGCATATTAAACAGATGGACGCTTCGCGAATCGGATTATTTTTTTGTATAACGCCTGCAATAACCTTTTTGATTTTGCTGCATTTCACACAAACCGTTGACAGCAGCAGATATCAGATTGTAAACAGTAGCGACAGCGTTAGTAGATACGAAGATGTGGATGATATCGACAATTTAAAAAATGATTTGTTTGTAATAATTAATCGTTTNTTTGAAACATTGAAATACAATATACGGTTTTTATTGATGCGTACTATTTGTACAGTACAAATAGCCATCGTTTGTTGATTTTTTAATTAATGTGTTAAGTATAGTAAAATATATCTGATTTTTGAACACATAACTATAACAAAGGTGAAAATTGTGACTGCAATATTATTGTAGTAACCTTCCGCGATGGACGTCAATCGCACGAAATATTTACCACGTATTTACGAGTGACCTGAAGACATCAAAACTGACCGTACAACAAACACAATGGACAGTGTAAACGGCAGCACAATCATCGAAACGTTGTGGGAGCATATTAAACAGATGGACGCTTCGCGAATCGGATTATTTTTTTGTATAACGCCTGCAATAACCTTTTTGATTTAGCTGCATTTCACACAAACCGTTGACAGCAGCAGATATCAGATTGTAGCGACAGCGTTAGTAGATACGAAGATGTGGATGATATCGACAATTTAAAAAATGATTTGTTTGTAATAATTAATCGTTGGGACGCTCTCGGTCGAGATTACATAACAATCGAAGATCGTGTTTTTATATTGGTAAAACGTGCATTTGAATGTCAACGGGTGTTATTTAACCAAAATGGCTGACATACAAAATAACATTACTAATATTTTTTTTGAATTATTTTCAGGATAGTATTATTAATATTACAACTGATATTGTTCTACAAATGTAGAAAATGTACTATACTTATACATTAATAGATTTTTCAAAAATCTAAGAGAGTTGTAGTATTTGTACGTATTGGATATCTACCAAAAAAAAATTATATCATGNATCATCGAAACGTTGTGGGAGCATATTAAACAGATGGACGCTTCGCGAATCGGATTATTTTTTTGTATAACGCCTGCAATAACGTTTTTGATTTAGCTGCATTTCACACAAACCGTTGACAGCAGCAGATATCAGATTGTAGCGACAGCGTTAGTAGATACGAAGATGTGGATGATATCGACAATTTAAAAAATGATTTGTTTGTAATAATTAATCGTTTGGACGCTCTCGGTCGAGATTACATAACAATCGAAGATCGTGTTTTTATATTGGTAAAACGTGCATTTGAATGTCAACGGGTGTTATTTAACCAAAATGGCTGACATACAAAATAACATTACTAATATTTTTTTTGAATTATTTTCAGGATAGTATTATTAATATTACAACTGATATTGTTCTACAAATGTAGAAAATGTACTATACTTATACATTAATAGATTTTTCAAAAATCTAAGAGAGTTGTAGTATTTGTACGTATTGGATATCTACCAAAAAAAAATTATATCATGATAATTTTTTCTACAAAGTTAACAAAATGTCCAAAAAAATTGGAATCAAAAATATTAAGACTTTGTGATGTGGATTTTTATACATAGGTATGGGACTATATAGTATTGAATGCATTATTATGATTGGTACATTTATTCAAATATATTATTTATAAGTGTATATAATTTTTTGGTAATGGACAAAATGTTCAAATGTTATGTTATTGCTGCAGTCAAGGTTTGAAAGATTGAGATGATGAAGACGACCCATANTTTGAATGTCAACGGGTGTTATTTAACCAAAATGGCTGACATACAAAATAACATTACTAATATTTTTTTTGAATTATTTTCAGGATAGTATTATTAATATTACAACTGATATTGTTCTACAAATGTAGAAAATGTACTATACTTATACATTAATAGGTTTTTCAAAAATCTAAGAGAGTTGTAGTATTTGTACGTATTGGATATCTACCAAAAAAAAAAATTATATCATAATAATTTTTTCTACAAAGTTAACAAAATGTCCAAAAAAATTGGAATCAAAAATATTAAGACTTTGTGATGTGGATTTTTATACATAGGTATGGGACTATATAGTATTGAATGCATTATTATGATTGGTACATTTATTCAAATACATTATTCATAAGTGTATATAATTTTTTGGTAATGGTCAAAATGATCAAATGTTATGTTATTGCTGCAGTCAAGGTTTGAAATATTGAGATGATGAAGACGACCCATGGGTAGAACATGTACGTTGGTCTCCTAGCTGTACTCATGTATTGTTAAGTAAGGGACAGTTATTTATCCAAAATAATAAAATAACGAAATAAGACTACTATTAATTATGAATCTTATATAGTATTGTAAATTGAAAAATAAATAAAAAATTTTAATATTGTATCTTGTGTGTTATATGAAATTGTATAAAAGGTACAGTGTGTAATAAATAAATATACCAATTTTCGATTTAGTAAAAAACATATTATACTACTAAATTTATAATTTGTATAATCTAAGAGGATTTTTGTATTTACAAGCGTTCAAATCTACAAAAAAATCAGACACGTGTGACTTTATCAGCTTTATTGTGTTCGAATTATGTGTATATAGTATTTATTTTCTAACTTAAAAGAAAATTAACAAAAATATTGCTAAACTCGCGTGTTTTTTCTTTTACACTCGAACCCTTACATCCAGTAAATATTCTATACTTTTTTTAACGTTAAAATACGTTTTACTTTGCTATCTACAAATTGTGTAAAATATACAATAATATTCATGTAAGCAATTTATTGATCCCCACTAGTAAGATATTGAATTCCTAGGGATTTTTATCCCAAACAATTAACTTTATTGTGCCTAAAAATATAAATTTTACTATATAACTGCAGAAATAACCCGTTATCTGTTCATTCACTTTTTGGTTTTTTTATGGTGCTTTTCATCATCTACAACTGTGTTTCACGGCTATTCCTGTGCA